GGATCCGTATCCAAGACATGTCTGGATTGATCAAGTTCAAACTTCACACACACATGGTACATCATGTCACAAATAGATATGTGCATTTGTTTCATGATCTGCTTAACAATAGCGGAATGATGGCCATTTTAAGGCCGAAAATGCATCAAAATCACATATTTTCACAATTCCAGAACCGGATCTCAGTCATGCATGGATGGATTTTGTTCAGATTTAGCACAATGTGTTGTACATATGCAGGTGCATTTCGGTCATGATCTGCTTTGAATGTATATGTCACTCAAATATGAACGGAACGGGGACGTGTCATTGACAATGACTTGTATTATTACATAATAATGTGTATTTAATTTCGCGGATTATTCTGTTCTGTGAAAATCATGAAATTAAAACTGAGGGAATATTAATAATTAATACATTTTCAGTAGTAAACTGCATCATCACAGTGTTGAAAATCCAAAAATAAAGCTTATTAACCATTCAAGTTGACCTCGCTGACTACTAACTCTAAATGTATCAGTCCGCTATTTCAAAACTAACAGATTCGCTCAAATCGCACTTTTACAGCCATAATTGAATTTTCATCATCATCATTATCATAACACATGGGTTGCGTGGGTGAAACAAAAAATTAAAAAACAGAGTCTAGGCTCACTAATTGTGACAATCCAGAGCAAATGAGTATGTGAAAACATTGTTTATAGATAATAATTATTGTTATTCTGTTTTTCACTAGGAAAGGAATTGAGTATTTCTACACCTCCAAAGCCACCCATGCCCTCAACATCCAATCCTCCACCAATGCCACAGGACTCTACAGAAGCAGCAATCAATGACATCCTCTCACAGGCAAGAAAAGAAATGGAGGCAATGTCTACAACATCCATTTCTACAAAATACCAATCCATTGCAAATCATTCCAACTTTACCAGTAATAGAAGGGCTTCCCCAGACAGAATAAGACCACTGAGACATAGTGCTTTCAAACCCTACTCAGAAACAGTTGTGGATAGGCATGTTAGCGATTTGCTGTTAGAACAAGAACCACAAACTGAGGCTATTCCTTTAATCAAGAAGGTCAGCAAAGCTTCTTCTGTTGAACGTGAAGCTGAAACACATTGCCAACAAGACAATGCTGCATTAGTACAGAGAGCTATACAACAAGCCGTACAGGAATCCAATTGCGTCGTAGATAATCAGCTGTTTATGATGTCGCCAAGTTTACTAGCAATGACAAAACCATTGAAACGTGTACTCCCACCGTTAACGAGCCAACACTATGATAAATACCCCGAGCTAAACACCAGGCATGTGACGACACATGTAAAGGAGAGATTGAACAAGTACTTGATTCCGCAGCGATTGTTTGGAGATCATGTATTAGGACTGTCGCAGGGCAGTGTCAGCGATATCTTATCACATCCAAAACCATGGAAGAAACTCACACAGAAGGGAAGGGAACCATTTATCAGAATGCAGTTGTGGCTAGAAGATGATAAAGCTATTGAGAAACTGAAATCTATATATGGTAAACGAGGTGAGTTATTTCAAAACATACCTCCAATGTTTTTTGTTGATACTTGTTTTCCTGATCCTGTTGAACTAAATGAAAACAAATAATTTGCAGTTTTTTTCCTACCATCTTCCCACCCATAGTCTTTAACCTGTCCATCGCTCAACACATGTTGTTAATAAATTTGATTGCTAATTAATGTTTTCAAAGGAAAAATGTTAGTTGATGACTGAGTGTATGTACCAGTAGGTGCAGTTACAATGCAACTAAATGCTTTTCATCACCTGTTTCTAAATATGAATTTGTTTGTTTCTTCTGAAGGGGACATACCAGATGAAAACTGCCAAGATGCTATGAACAGTGTTAGAAATACTCCACCATCGACCTCATCAACCTCGTCATCGCAATCTCAGCTTCCACTGCCAACCAATAAACCTTTATTTGAGTATGACAACGAGAACTCCTCTGTCTCATCCATGGGTAGTACTGATAGAAACCAGCAAATACAAGAACAGTTGGCCACATTGCCAAACTTAGACACCTACGAGGTCACAAAACAAGTCAAGAAGCGACTCTATGAGAGTAATATTGGACAAAGAATGTTTGGTGAAATCGTTCTGGGTTTGACACAGGGGTCTGTTAGTGACCTGCTTTCTAAACCCAAACCATGGCAGAGTCTAAGCTTAAAGGGCAAAGAACCATTCCTTAGAATGCAAGCTTGGCTCAATGACCCTGATGGCATTGAGAAGTTGAAATGT